ATATATATATGAAATCTATTCTTTAGTCCCTATATCCTTTAAATGGCATCATATCTACCTAAAGTCAACATAGTAGTTGAGGGTTGGGGCTTTGGAGTTAGGGTTTGAGGTCCATTCCACTACTCACTGGCTGTGTAACTCGGGCCAAGTGGCTGCCTTGGTTCTGTCTGTTTCCCCATTGCTGAGACTGGGCAACATCACCACCAACCTATAGAGCTGTTGTGCAACTCAAGTGAGATTAATGTGCTGGAGCACCCTGGGCACATGGGGAAGGCTCATTAAACTACAAGGCCCACATGTCCTGAGCAGCAAGTCCTTGGTCAGGGATGGAGCACAGCCTGACTTTACTGGGAAGATGGTGGTGGGAAATTTGGTGGGTTGATCAGGAAGGCTGAAAACTCAATTTAGAGGGTGTGACAAAACAATACCTACTAGAAATCATAAAACTAGATGCTGGAGAAGGCTTGTGATGCAGAAAGGAGCTGAACAGTAGAGGTAGGAAGGACGGAAGCTGTGTCCTTTCATTTCCCAGTTCAGTGCTACATACAGGTGCTTGGCAAATGCTCTCTGCACGAATAAATGAAATGAATGAATGACTTCCAGGTACATATGACCAAAAAAAAGAGTCAAGATTAATATTTATCAGTTCACATGTCTACATAACCTTGCACATTTTGCAAGTAGAAAAGCTGATATGCACGTTCTCCTGGGTACTGATCTTGTGAGTAAGTCTCTGCAAAGTGTGCTGGGAAGAGGCTACGTATGCATCAAAAGAGACAACTCTCACTGGGTGAAGACATACAGGCACCCAGTTGATCAGCTGTCTCAGGAAATGGAGAACAGAGAGAGGAACTAAAGTGATCGCCCAAGTCCTGTTGAAACCACAAACATTCTTCGTTTTCCATTCTCGTTATTCTGATTTCAGAACTTGACAGTTGATCAGTACTTAAATATATTTACTGAATGCCTACTGTGTATCAGACACTGTGGCTGGTGTAGGGAATAAGGACATGACAAGGGTCCCAGTTTTCCAGTGTGTCATATTCCACAGGAAAGGCAGGAACTAAACAGCAGCAGACACAGCCAAGGAATGTGTTTTCACACATTGAAAGAGATAAACAGCAAATTGTCATGATTTCTCCCATCCTCATAATAAGAATTTGTTATTATGGACTCTTGGCAAACCAATAAAATGCTTAGAAACATAACTACTACAATGCAAGCATTTAGTGTGTAAGCAACATATTTTAGATACTCTTCTTAAAAATAATCCCTGCAATGACAATACAGTCCTAACATACAGAGCAGAATAATATCTTTTGTAGTTGAGAAATCAGAGAACATAAATGAATTTCTATAAAAACGCCAAATTGCAGTGAGAAGAGTCTGCTGCATGGGACTGTGTTGATACAGGTAGAACATCTGGACGCAGGCGACAAGCTCTTGGACACAAGCAGCAAGCGGGGACTGGGCTTCAGGAAGTTCACAGGTTTAGACTTCTGCAGTAATGTGCTAGGGGGCCAGTCACCCACCACTTCTAATTCTAAATAAATAATGGAACACTGTCAGTTCCTCATACTGTGGTATTGGGGGAACATTTAATGAAAAAATGACCCCGAAGATCTTTTACTAATACAGAGTGTTCTGTGATGCTAAATGAATAATCTCATTTGGCGGTTGGGAGGAACCAGAGACTGATGCATGAATTTGAGTAGATTTGCCTGATGTCTGTAAACATTATTCAGTGGAGTTCACTGAAAAGGAAAGAAACATTGTTCTATAAGCCGCAGTGTTTCCATGGGATCATCAGGCTGAATCCTTGGCAGAGCATCCCACACTCTCACAAAGAGATGCACATGCATGGCGCATGACACATGACGTGGGCATATGAGGCCTACAGGACGGGGCTGGCTGTTTCTCGTCGGGTCCTTCACCCTTCCCCTGTGCTCTCTGCATTTCCCTTCTGCTCCCCAGCTTGGCAGGCAGCTCCTGCTGTGGCCCTGATCTTGGTTCATAGCATCTCCTCAGTGGAGGTCTTCCCAGAGGACTCAGCTCCAAGGCGGCCCCCTTCTGCTGCTCCCACACCCCTGTAAACTCACCATCTTTTTATTCTGTTCTATTTTAATCTAGCACTTATTGAGAAATGAAAAATACTTTGGTTCCTTGTCTAATGTCTACAGGAATGAAATGAATGTCTTTTTGCATCTTGCTCATGATGTGACCCCATCGCCAAGCACAAGCCATATATGTAATGGAAAGCCTCCATAAATACTTCTGAATGCTGAATGAATGAATTCTTAAACTCCCACAGCCATGCTTACAACCTTATATCCATGATGCTCATGCGTGTCCCTCCCATGTGTGTCCCGCCTGCCACCCACCTTCACTGGCTTACAGTTTCTGCTTGTGAGTCAGATTCATGTTTCTGTGGATATTTTAAATGCCATTCAATCAACTTTCCCATTATTCTGCAGCTGACCATGCAGTCAGAAGGTTCCTGGGCCTTCTTTCTCTGCCTCTTCTCCAATCTTAACTATTTATGACTAGCCTTTATGCCTTTCTCTGCTAGTGGGACATTGAAAGGGAGATGCAAATGCATGTTGCTTTTTTACCTGGCAGGAAGAACTGATGTGCTGTGAGCTTGGCAAATGCTGGGATCCTGCACCGCTGCACTAAAAGACAGGGGCCTGGGGAACGTGTTCTCCCGTTCTGCAGGGCATGCTTATAACTCTTGGGGAAGTGTTTCTCAAGGAGGGGTCCATATAACCGGCATGAAAATCACCACAACGTCCATTACAGTTCATATCTGGGCCCTGCCAGAGACCAACTGGATCAGAATCTCTGGGGTGAAGCCCTGAAATCATCTTTTAAACAGGCACCTGGGTGATTCTTATGCACACAGAAGGTAGGAACACTACCTGGGGCGTCTGCCCTGTTTTCTTGTATTTTTCCTGTTCTCCTACTACTGTCTCCAACGACTTCTGTGCTGACTGGGCCAAAGGAACGCTGAAGCCGAGGATGCACCAATGTAAAAATCCAATCTGTTCAGGTTCTATAATCTTTCCTGGTTAACAGCAAAAAGTGGCTCAGAACCCACCCCAGCAGCATCCTGACATAGCTGGAAGCCAGATCAGGGAGGCCACAATAAAGAAGCCAATGGCAGGAGAAACATCAAAGACCTTGAAATATTTTTAAGAGCGAAGCTCTCATGCACACCCCTTTGCAAAGCTGATTCTCACTCATGTCCCATTCATGTCCTCAGAAGGTACTGATGTCATCAAAGAAGGAAGGGGTAAGGTTAGACAAAAGGGAGAATGAAAAGACTTTAGCACGTTCTTGGGAAAACATCTTTTCAAATGAATTTCTATACCTGTTGGAGCTGTTTCCTGCATATTACCATGTTGTTTAGTAATTAGCCGGTTTGCTTCTGGAGCTCACTGAATTTTGCAAATGTTTCGCAAGCCAGGATTTATGAAGAGGAGCTTTTAACATTATACTAGTTAGTTTTCTAATGATAACGTACTAAGAATATAAATTTTTGCAGAGAGCGATTAGATATTTAAAAGCTAGACATCAAAGCTTCCGAAATGATGATAATCGGAACATCAATTTCTCAGTCTTTAAAGAGATTTAGGAACAATTCCAATTATGAAGAAATTAGAATATTTAATTAATAAGTTCTAGATATATATTAGGGGACTTAACTTCATTGCAGTAATTAATTTCCATATTTTATAAGTGAAATATGAACTAAACCCAACGTAATCTCCAGATTAGCCAGAAGTATATTTTTTTCTTGAACAATATGTTTGGGAGAAAAAACATAAGCATTGAGGACAGACATGTACAGCCAAATCTTGGTTTCACTTTTTATTATGTGTTAAACTTTGGGCTGCTGACCTTACTTCTCTGAGACTCAGTTTTCTCATCTGTAAAATAGGAACTCTGGTTTCTACTTTATGAGTGGGTACCTTCCAAGACTGCTGCAAAGGTAACATGCATGGAGTTCTTTCTATCGCGACCCTGGCATGCATTAGATACACGCTAATGCTAATTAACTTCCCATTCTCTTGTGTTGTCTAAATAAAAAAAAAAAAAAAAAACTAAATTAACTTGAAATTTCTAGAACTGTTCATAGTAAACCAACACCAAAAATTATTGGCTTCAACTAACACGATTTTAATAACAGCTAAAATCAAACAATAAAAACTCAATGTCCCAATTAAAAATGCTATTATACCCATTTGTTTCTTAGGCCTAGGGCTGAAAAGCCCCACATTTTCATTTGATAGTGACAGAGCATTAATATGTTTTCAGCATTAGTAACACCCACACATTTTAAGCGTTGTGGACCACTCACTCGTTCCCGGCCGAGCGTCCGAAACATCCACTAAAGGCCCGGTGGCCTGAGACACCGATTGGTAATGGACCGTGTGAGTCACCGTCAGGGACTTTTGTTTAGCTGCCTCTCCAAAATCAGCATCTGTCAACAGGACTGTGGAGCGATCATCTACGGAACAGCAGGGACACAGAAAGCCAGACACGTTTAAATGCCTCCTGGGCCTTCTCTCTCCTTAGGCACTTGTGTTATCGTTGATGACAACAATAACAATCTCATCTAAAGCAACAAAAACGACTAAAAATACAAACGCTGTATGAGGATCACTCTGGAGCATTAAAAACAGAAGCTATGGAGCATAACTTAAATACAGAGAATGCCAACGTGCAGAGACGGGCCTCTCTTCCCTCTCGGAGCTTGGCTTCTTTTCATTAAGTGACCATTGATTTAGGGACCTGTTGCTGCAGCTGCCCATTTAATAAAGTTTTGGGGATTGATGTGTGTGTCAAAAACTCACCTGAGACATCATCAGTGACGCCAGCACCACCCAGAGATGGGCTGTCATTGAAAACGGGTCCCTATGGCTGCTGGGCAGCTCTGTTTGAGGACTAGAAAAACACCACCACAGTGCTCTATTCTGGGGTTGGCTGTCTTATTGAACCTGGCAGATGACTGGAGGGAATAAAAGAAGAGAAAAGCCAGTCTCGAGAGCTTATTGACTGCTCTATTTTAAAGTATTCGAGGTATGCTCCTTTTCTTCCCACCTCTTGTGAGCTTTAATCACTCTACAGCATCCTTTAATTGACTTCTCCTAAAATGACTCACTTGTCAGATTTCCAAAGTCCTACCGGTGTAGGCACTTGGAGGTTAGAGAGGCAGGAGGCTGGGTTCAGATCAGTTCTGAGCGCTTCGGTGCTGGTAGAAGGAGCAGTTGCTTGAGCTGTGTAATCATTACATGGTTGTCCAGGTTTCGCATTACCCTGTTGTTACTTTTCACACTTTCTTAAGAGCTTTATTCCCCCAGGCAAACTTTGGTAGGATATATGGATTTTCCATACATTTTCAAGGACTGCACTCAGGGTGATGTTCATGTGAGTGTGTCAGTCAGCCGGGACTACAGTGCGCCTCGACACTGGAACAGTAATGTGAAAGTTGTAAACAACACAGCTAGACTTCTGTGCCCAAAAAAGGCTCTGAACAGAATGAACAGTACAGAATCCAATTACTCAGGCTCTGGCAGGAAAGGAAAGCCTCTTGAAGTTAGAATAAAATTTCTTGGCAGAGATAGAGAGGGAACGGATGCCAAGATGTCTGTGAGCATCCCAGTACATGGTGCGGTGCAGGCTGGCACCACAGCGGGCACCAGGTCCGACCCTCAGAAGATGGCTTTCTACAGAGACAGTTTCTCACAATTAGACTTGGCACCAGAAGCTCCATGTCTATGTTCATTTTTCATCAATAATATGGGTGCATTGCAGATTCTAATGTGCAGCCCTGCTAAGAGCATACCACATTATCTGTTGGGCTAGGTTACAAACTTTTAATGGGAAATTTCAAGTGTCCATCAGATCATGAGGTTAACCATTCATTCTGGCTAGAAATTAATATCACTCTAACTTTGAATTCTTGTAGTCAGAGTTCAGAGAGTTTTAAAGCACCACAGTTCTACTTTTCCAATAATTAGAAAGTGCCATCGACCAAGTGTCAGGCATCACCAGGAGGTAAATGACTCTTGATAATAGATGATCCTGCTTGGCCTGTGATGTGTCTCTGGCTAAGAGTCACATACAGAAATGACTGGCAGACTTTCTCTGATATTAAGCCAGCAGTGACTAGCTCCTGGGAGGCTGTGTACCATTCACAGGCTCCATCTAGCTATCTGTTTTAATAGCTATATGTAGGATTATTAACTCTAGAGAGGAGGATTTAGCAAATATTATAACCATGTGACTTTGACAAACTATGCAACCTCTCTGCATCTCAGTTACAAAAGTAATACCTTTTTCCTATGTTGCTTGGAAGATTAAATTAAATAATGCACATAAGTGCTTATAAAAGTACATGGTCAAAGGAATTACGTTTTGATTTCTGAACTAATGTTTCAAAGGAAATTTTAGTTTTAATGCCCAATCTATTGAGTTAAATAAAAGAGATTCCAGGTATACCACTGGGGGGAAATATATATATATATATTTATACCATGTTTTCTTTTGATTATATACATATATATATATACATACATATATATATGTATATAATCAAAAGAAAACATGGTGCCTTATCTTGATGTGAGCAAGCCAATAAAATCTTGCGTATTTTAGGGCAAGCAGTGCCTCCCCATTCAATAGGAGTAATAAGTATTTAACTGAAGTCAGTGGACTGAGGGCTACATTGGACCTGACCAACCTTTCTCTAAGTATTGCTAAGCGTGAACCACATGTGAATCCAGTGAGGGCAGCCCAGGCCTTAGAGTTTAGGAGCCATTAGGTCAAGAAGTCCCACTGCTGTACTAGAACCTACTAAAGGAGGGGTGGGGGTTGGGGAGGGGCGACGGGTGACAGAGGGGATGTTCTGCCCACCTGATCTCTTACCACTGCCTTCCAGGTGGGAAGTATCTGGGGTATGTGCAAGAAGTCCGGCAGTTTTATTCAGACCACAAGAAAGGGTTGCCCTTGGAGCAAGTACCAACAGACACCTCTCAAAACAAACACAGTGAAGTCTGAAAAGAGGCAGCCTTGGGAACCTGCCTCAGAGTCTGTTTCCATGGGTACCAGAAACCTTGGCGGGACTTCTAAGGTGAGGGGCTCTTGGCAGTCTCCTGTTGGTATGGAAGCAGATGGAGACAGCCTGTACCAGAGGTGCATGGCATGGTGATGAAGCAGGTGGACAGGTGGGGACCCTGGTTCTGCACCTGTCCATGTGACCTTGGCAAGCTATGCCAAGTTACCAAAGTAACTTCTCTATGCCTCAGTTACAAAAGTAGTTGCAAACTTTGCCATGTGATGGTTGGAAGGTTAAATTAGATAATGCACATAAAGTGCTTATAAAAGTACGTGACATTTAGAGAGTTCCCAATAAATGTTAGCTATTCTGATTATTACTGCAATAGAAATATAAAGTCTCTGATTCTGAAGTATAGAACTATCTAGGCATGCAGTGTGGGGCAGTGAACTTAGAGTGGAAAGAGGCTGGGAAGAGTCAAGACACCTGGAATTCTGGGTGAAGGAGCCACAAAATCTCTCCAGTGCTGTTCCAAAACTATGAAACAAGGGAGCTAATATTTCCAAAAGTGCTGTGAAGGAAAGAGCTCCAGGATGTTTCTGGGGTGCCGGGGGGTCGGCACCCCAGAAAGACAGTTGCAAAGACAGTTGCTTAAGTGTTATGTAGAGTTTAAAGGTTTTCCTTAATCAAGGCTGGCCTTATTGGAGTTGGTGAGGCGACCAGAGTGGATTTCCAAGATGGGGCTTTAGTGTGTGGACCTTCCTGGGTTTATTTGATTGTTGACATTTATTTGTTGGAGTGGTATCAATAGGCTCCCCAAGAAAGACCCAGCACGGATTGGAGTTGGGAAACTCCTGTCCCAGGCCACCACTGAGGTGTATATAAGTAAATTTTTCCACATTTGCTCCCAATGACAATTCTCTACCTTCTAACTTTTGCACTCATGCAGTATTCAAGATATTCCCCTGTCTAACATTTCCCAGGTCCCAGGATTTGGGCTGACGAGGCTTGATATCAGGCACATTGTATAAAGTAGCAGACAGGGCACCTTACCAATGGTCTCCATCGTGTCTCTCTCTTCAATCAAAAGCTGAGCCCTGGGTATGTCAATGTGCATTCTCAGAGTCTGCTGCTGCTTGCTCAGGGTGTCTGAAGTCCGGGTGTTCTTACTGGGAATAAAATAGAGAGGATGCATTAACAAATCCAGTCCAGTGTTACGTTATGCCAAGTCGCGCTGGTACACAAACCTGGTTTATTGTCTAATTATGTAAATGCCTCAGGGGGAGAGGAAAAAGCACATGATAGGAGATTTTTTTTCTTCATTCAAATCATGTTCATTAACATTAAATTTCAGCAGACTAGGGAGGTTCAGAAAATACTAATTGTCAATATAGATTGCTTCTTCGTCTATCAATAGAGCCCTTTAAAAATTCTCATTTTTTTGTGTAAAAGCTCAATGAAACTAATGAAAAGCAATTTTAAAATGAGCAACATTTTTATTTGTCAGATACAAGCTGTGTTGGGTACGGTAAGGGAGAAAGCATGTGCACCAGCTCTTCGCTGGATGGGGGTTTTACTAATGGATTTGTATTTATATCTGGTGTCTTTATTTTTGTTCTAGTAACAAATCACAAAACTTGTTAGCTTCCCTGACATTAGTTCAGGTTTCCCAACCAATAGTGCATTTCAGAATGAAAAAAACAGAAGCAATTACTGTAATAATTTTTATCTCAAAATTTGTGTACCAGAAAATTACTCTTAGAGTGAGTTGTTCTCTAAAAGTAAATGAAAATAGGTAGTAAAACTGCAGGCATAATCGTATTCCGTTACAGCCTGCAGTAAAAAAAAAAAAATCTTCATGCTGAACAAAAGATCTAAAAGAGTCGATAAAGGCCTTAATTAGCAATCGACATTAGAAGGATGGTTGCTCAGTCTTTACAGAAGTGTAAGAATTTACTAGATGTTAAAATAATGTTTACCAGAACACCCTCTAAGAAGCAGTAGTCATCTGGATAATTCAGTCAATGGGGTCATCTGGCATCCATAAATCCAGCTCAATAATTGTCAGAATCTATTTTGAGAAAGATTTCTGGAGCCTAGTTCACTCAATGACAGTTCACCTCTGTGTTACTTTTTAAAAGAGGACAGGAAAGGGCTAGCCACTCCCCATCTCAGTGCTTTTCACCCACTCCCCGGGCTCTGCCTCCATGGATCCTTCCTTGTCAATGAGAACTTGTCATCTCTTGAACCAAGTGGCTGATAGACATTTAATAATCCGAAAGTCAAGCTTACTCAAGTACCCCTTAGATGTTTGCCTGCTGAGGTCCGTGCATACTCTTCATGGAGAATAAACCAAACATCCCACGAAAAAGACAATTTCTGAAAGGTGTAGCATTTCTGCTTAGGACTTGACCTTGAACCAGATTTCTTGCTCTGCTTATGAATAACTGGGTTATGTACCTACATCATGCTAACTAATTACGCAGAGCCCAAATTCAAACGTTTGGCCTGATTTTCCACCTGGTCTCTACACTCTTTCAAATTACTTGCTTAACTAACTTTTCATTTTGTTTGTGGTTAAAAAAAAAAAAAAGAGAAAAGAATGCAGAGATCCCAATACTTGTACAAAATGAAGTGCATTTTGGTGACTTGGGGGGCTGCATTTATGTCATGCTTAGACAAGGTATATTTCCACAACAACATATGGGGAGCTGTTCCTCTGTGAATATCAGAGAGATCTGTTTAAACTTCACTAGGGACTTGAGCTTGTCCTTGTACCAAAAATAGAAGCGTGAGCTAGTTCCTTCTGCTCATGATGAGTGGCTATGAGGTGGCCAGTGGCTGCTCTACTGAACAGCTGTGGACACCAAGCACAGGCTCTACTTAAACAATAGAGGTCTGCTCTCAGATAGACACTGGAAGCAAGCTTATAACTGCCGTGAACCACTGCAATGGGCACAGAGACCTAGAATATGACTAAACCTTATGAACAAGGATAGTCAAGGCTGGGGGTAAACTCTTTCTACTCCTTGAACGACTGTGCTGCCAGGGCCCGCAGTGGGAAGGCAAGAGAATGGCCCAGCACTCCTTGAGATTCAGGGGCTGATTGTCCCTCCCTTCCATTGCACTTGCTGCTCCCTTGGCTTAGACCATACTCCCCACTGCCCCACCCCTGCAAGGCCTGACTCAGATGCCTTCCTTTCAATGGAGCCAGGTTGACCCTGCTATGGGAACTCCTTGTGAGTCCTCTCCTCATCTCCACTTAATTTTGTCTCCTTGGCATTATTACTTTCTAGCATATATTTAATTGAATCATCTTATTAATTATCTGTCTCTCCCACTGGAATATACACCCCACAAGGGAGATATTTTCATCTGTTCTGTTCCCTCTATGTCCCTTGAACTTAGAACAGTACGTGGCCAACACAGGTGCTTGATAGATATTCATTAAATAAATCATGGTATTTCAGGGGTATGATGTGAGCCAAGTGACATGGCCCCAAAGGCTTTGCTTTGGATCAATAATATCCTTCTCATTGAAAGGGTTATTAGGTTACAACTAAGTTGCTTCATTATATTAATTTTTGCTGCCACATTTGATAATCTATTGTTATAGGAAGGCTGATCCTCAAAAATTATAATAATTGGTCATTAGAGTAGCCGCAAGCCTTCAAAAAAAAAAAAAAAAAGTTACTTGAAGAAACCTTACTTGCGACCTGGAAAAAGATTCTGAATGTTTTCATTGTGGAAGCAAAATTGCATCTTTCATATGATATAAGATATGCTGAATATATTAGTTATTATTGAAATATAATCTTTGACCATGCATTTGCCATCTGGTGGTATGAATAAAATGACACTGACACTGAAGAAGGGGCTGAGGGTGGTTTGCAGGGCACAGTATTTCCCAGGTCAGACAATAAATTACTTTCAGTCACTACAACTCTTCAAAGTCTTAATATTTCCTTAAAGTTTGTGTGGGAAGAAAAACTTAATGAAGATGTCTGTACATCCCACCCACCCCCAAAATAGGACATGGAGCATTCTTTAAGAGTAAAATAACTGCAGGACTGTTAGGAGCATATCTCATTATAACACTCGGATGAGTATTTTTTATTATGTATATAAAATATGAACATCAAAAAGATAAACTAATTTAAACTCTCAGTCTGAGTTTTCTCTGCTTACAACCAGCTCCTTTACTAATACCGAGATCTTTGGAATGTTAAATATGTGTTGCTTAGTTTCTTAGAGTAAACCAGTCTCACCTCTCAGAAGGCTGTTTGCTTGTTTTAATATTCTTGCCTCTATAAACGGAAGGAAAATCTTTCTATCTGGGGGGTGATGGATGGAGTCTCTCTTCTCTGGGGTGATGTGCTTGGGTGAAATGGAGCCCAGCAGTGTGGACCTTAGACTGTCTAGCTTGTCTTTCTGTCCTGAAGTGCCATCTGCCTTTGTAGTCTGGGACAGATAATCCTGCTGAAATATGCAGATATTCTTTGTGCAACACATTGAAAGATAAATATTACATTCACCCAGATCACAGAATGACAAATCTAGGAGCAATTCTGAATCTATATGTTTTTTAAGAAGAGGAAAGTGGGGTGCAGAATGGTGTAATGACTTGCCTAAGATCAGGAAGCTGGCTAGTGGCTGTGAGGCTTAGAACACAGACTTGGGCTCTGTCTCCTCCTCACTGCACTATCCTGCCACATCCTCAGCTTTCCCAGAGACAACAGCAGCACAGATCAGGGACGGCAATTCAGTGTCCTTCTCTGCCAATGGACATGACCTGCCTAGACTTCCTTGGGCCACATCTGAAATGTGGTTGGTCCTATATTGATAGTGTAGGAAACCAGGTCTTTGGTTGCTTGGCCCTTTAACCTGCAAAACTTAAATTGAACCAACCCTTCATGATTAGAAGTATTGCTTTTAATTTGAAATTAATCCCATACAAATCCACCTATTTGAGGAGCTTGGAAATTTGTTCTTTTCAATCATTTTCATCATTTGTAGGAAAACCATTTTAACTATCACACGTGGTAGTGATTACTGGTTTTAATGCTCCTAATTTCATGTTGGTAATGTCAACTGAGAAGACCATGATTAATTCCTGCTCTTATCAATAGGTGGTCTTTCAACCAAAGTAATTGATTTATTAATAAAGAGGGTGCTTTCTAATATCTTGCTTGGGGGCTAATGAGGAAGGGTAGGGATGCATTCTAGGACATCAGGAGAAGCGAAAGCAAGTCATCCTAACTGAACAAATGTCAAATATGGCAGAAAACATGACCACAGTTTATAGCCTTTGAGCAGAGGCATGACTTATGGTTTGGGAGTGAATGGAGCAGGTGGCCGGAACAGGTGGGAGGAAGCAGAGTCAAGGAGAGGTAGAGCCCAGAAGCCCTCTGGGGAGCTGCGGGAACCCTGCTGGGGGTGCAGATCAGTGAAGTGGACTGGGGTGGGGTGAGGGCAGGGGCTGCCGTGGTGAGCAAAAGTCACACCCAGCATCACCTAGGCTGTGCCCAGTGTGGCCAGAGCATTTTCAAGGGAACATCAGAAAGCCAAATTCTATGTGAAATCTCCTCATTTTAAATGTCACCAACTAACATATTTTTAAAGTCTACATCAGAAAATTTATTTTATTAGGTAGATCTGTTATTACAAATAGAGTGATCTGGCGTGTTTATTTGTTTTCCAGATGTTTTATCAGATCAACTCAACACAAGTGCATGTGTCTAGATATGTTCCATGTGATGGCAAAAATGTCCTTATATTTGCTTAGGAAACAGATACAGTCTTTCCCAAGAGCATACACTCGAGGAATCTCATGCAGATTTTCATAATATTTTTGTAAGTTTGATCTAGTATGATTAGATACCCATCATGAAAGACATATTTTACAGGCCATTTCTATCTCTCCTCTGAGTTCCAGATTCCTGTTACCAGTTGTCTGTTTGACACCTCCACTGAATACGTAAAAAGAATCCCAAATTTAAGGTGACCAAAGATGGTCTTTTCATTCCCATTAACACCTTTCCAGACCCTGCTCTACAAAAAAAAAAAAAGTTCATACTCTGCCTGTATTTTCCTAATCTTGCAAATGACACCAACATTCATCTAATTACTTACACCAAATATTTCAGAGATGATCTTGATTCTTCCACATCATGGTTTTACTTATGATTCATATTGTTTTCAAACACAATGTGGCTAAACAAAGATGTCTCTAGGACATGTGATCTATGTGCCAATGATATTTGACCTCTGCCTTCAGTCTTCAAAGATGCTGGTGATATGGGGCATGGGCTCTTTGCAAACAACAAAAAAGAACTAACTTTATATGCACAGATGGAGAAAGAAGTGAAAGCCAACTGCAGTGGGGATGGGAGTAGGAAGAGATCCTGTGCCCCATCCTCTCTCTCCCACACTAATCCTAAAACAGCAACATCAAGTTCACCGTCACGGTCCCTGACATCTTCCTTAATTATCTTCTAGACTCTTATTTTCCCTTTTCATTCGATCATTACAATATAAAAGACTTAAAATGCAAATATTGGGGTGAGGTAACATGTCAGTTAATTAATCCATAACCGTAATACTTAAAATCAGAGTGTTCTAGGTTTTATAGAATAAGGAGTTTGGGCAGCTAAGGAAACTCAATGTTTGATGGAGGAGAAATGAGTGGAAAATAGAGCTTGGGGACGTGGAAGGAATATGCTCTTCTCTTCACATCTTTTCCTATCACAAGCCCTGTGGACATTTAAAAGTAAAGCTGTGAAGGCTGCACTTTTGTCTTCCACAATTGTGAACATTCTCTTCCTTTTATTCAGTAACTGCTATTTGTCCATCACTCTGCAATGACAAATGGGGCAACCACAGTGGTGGGGACTCCTAACATGGTCATGAAGTGTCCAGGCTTTGACTTCTAGGACTATCAGGGAATAGACAGGGAATTGGAGAGTGCTTCTGGGGAGGGGTGCTGGAGGAGCCATGCATCAGCCCACCGCCTTTGAAGAGCACAGTGCATTTCTTCCTGTGGTTTTCTTTGAACTTGGCTTGCCCTCAAAGGTAGCATATTTGGGTGGAAGGAAAACTAAAGCTACTTACTTGTAATGTGCCTCTTTGTTCCCAGGTTAATGGGAAACATTCTATTGGATGAATCCAGCCAACAAGATGATGACTTATGGCATGTACTAAAATATATTATTTGATACCTACATATCCAAGTAAGTACTATATGGATACATTGGAATGTAAATGGAAATCATACGTTGAAAAAAAATGCATTATTGATTACAGACTGTTATCATTAAAAAAATAATTAAGGCAAGTTGGAAACTGTTCTTTAAACATGATATCTGAAGTGCTAGGTCTTGTTCTTACCTCATGAGCATTTCGGCTAAACTCTTTGCATCTGAGGAAAGAAAGTTAATATTAGTAAATGACAAATAACTCATTAACATTCACTTAGGCATTTATGAAAATATTCTACAGTCAGATGACAACAGCCATTTTTAAATGTAATTGTATACCCAGATCACTACAAATGACCTAAAGTTTTATAGATTCCTTATTTCTTCTACATGGGACTGTTTTATATCTTTTTCTTTTTAATTGCAAAAAGATAGCATAACTATCCTGTGGCTATAAAATTCTCAGACATCTATTAAAGGCTTTATTACAACCTATTTATTTGTCACTTCTACAAAACCCAATTTTATTTTCAGTAAATTAACATTTTAAAAGTAAGTCATTTATGCTGTACAAATCCACTCTTTGTTACAAACGTATCATAATTAGAAAGTTTATGACACTGTAGATCACTTAAAAATGACATTATTACAGAACTCTGCATCCCTCAGGTTGGTCAAAGAATTGTATAAATGGTGTATCTCTGTTTTTGAAAACCTAGATGTTTATTTCAAACTCAGAAATAAAACTTTTACTTATTTATTTTTTTCCTAAGGATACTGTTTACCAAGACCTGGTTACCACTCCTGACATAAGAAATCCTGCCTAAAAATGATGTAGAAAAACAATCTCCTTTATTGGTGGTATTGTTTTGAAATCCTCATTTCCCTTAAAATATAATTTATTCCTTTTATACATTTTGTCCTGGCAAAAATGAATGTTTCCTTACGTTTCTTTTCTTAAAGCACAAAAGCCTTCTTTTTTTTTTTTTTTTTTTCTGTTGCTCTCTAAAAGACTTGATGTTAAATGTACTGTTCTACGGACAGAACTTTCTGGGAATGGACTCAGCTGATTGAGTGACTGGCTTTATAGTGAAGAAATTCATATGTTGGAGTATTTTCATGTCATTCTTTTGGGGCTAATGTGTGAATGTAATCAGTTTCATGTCGGGGAGCAGCATGCTATTAGTGAGGGGCACAGACGGTCACAGAATAACTGCACGTAGGCTGGCACCCCTGCGAACCACAACTCAGTTCTGCAAGTCAGCCGTGCCGGTTCCTGTCAGCAACCTCCAGATGGGCTCCAATTTTGTGCACAGATGGGTTTGGTCTGGGAAATGAAACACGTCTCATCTACCCCACCCACAGGGCAAAGCAAAGAAAGCAAACCAGCATTTAATTTCCCAGTTCATGTCTTTATATTTATCTGCAAAGACAAAGTAAATATAATACATTTCTTCTTTTCTGGAATGATTTAGCACTCACAAAGTAAACATATATGTTAAATGCCAGAAGCTTGGGCTTAATTAGCTCCATGTAACAACCAAAGAGGGGCTAGTACAATATTCTAAAAAAGAGGAAAAAAATTCCAAGGAGTAAACACTTTACTTTGGTTCATACTTTGGGGGTAGCTCAGACTCACATGTCTTCAGAATTGACTCCTTTCCTCACTCTGCCCATAATAATCCTTCTTTTTCTATTTTTGGCCAGTCTTCAGGATTTTCTCTCCTGTGATCTTTTCATATCAAGGTACTAAGGAATTTCAGAATCCAACAAGTGAGAACAGAGCTCCCCACAAATACTGACACGTCTAACTGCGAACATCCTTTACCTGTAATTAGCAGGAACTTCCTTGAAGCTAATCTGCTCCACAGGCTGAGCTGCTCAAAGCCATGTCTGTCAACCCTTCCCTATGCTTATCGCTTTCTGTCTTAGCTACTATGTCTTCTGAAGTTTTGAGAAAAATTTATTCATGGAAATTCACTTCTTCTATGACATCACCTCTGAATAGCTGAGAAGCTGGAGTTTCAAGCACAGTGATGGTGTTTTGATGGCACAGACAGCTCAGGGAGCAAGCATGCGGCAGGCTGTGGGGGGACAGCTGAGCACGCCCTAGGAATCTGGATTGTGCTGGTTCCTGTAGGATTGCTAGCTCACGTCCCTTTAATGTCGGTCTCTGCTAGGAAATTCGTATGCCCATTTCAGAAATGAGAAATCGGGGCCCAGATACATCCAGTCCTTTGCTGCAACCGTGCGGGAGCGCATGGCCAGTGTCTGAAATCACTGCCAGTCACTGAAATCACCAGGTTTCCCACCACTCTCTTCTGTACCAGCCTGCCTTCTACGCCTGCTGCTCCTTCTTTGCCACACGGCCCTTGGGACCTCACTGCCAGTCACTGAAATCACCAGGTTTCCCACCACTCTCTTCTGTACCAGCCTGCCTTCCACGCCTGCTGCTCCTTCTTTGCCACACGGCCCTTGGGACCTTGGCTTGCTTTCTCTTTCCTAAGCTTAGATCTCATTTGCGAGTCAACCTCCTCCTCTGTGGTCTCTCTGACTCCAGTCTTGAGGCTCTCTGAGTGACACCCACACATAGGAAGGGCAGCAGATCTGAAACACACCTTGCTATGCCACACCTGCATTTGAAACTTCCAGAGGGGCCTCGCTGCAGCAGCACTCCTTGGCACAGAGGACGAGCCTTCAGTGCTGGTCCAGGCTGGGTTTTCCAGCCCTGGTGTTTCTCACCTGGCCTCCAATCCTCTCTCTGAATTTCCTACACATGCCACTTTCTACAGAGACACTCCTGACTTTGCTCCTGCAAGGCCCTCTGTGGTCCTCACCACCCCATGCAGGTGCAACCAGCTCTGTGCACCCTCCCGGCCCAGCAGACCAGGTGGGTTCTTTGGCTCTTGGGCTTCCATGGACCTTTGCACATACATCTGGCTCACAGCGTGACCACGTGTTTTCACATCGTCTCTCTTGGCTCCTTCCTCTCTGTCTCTGGGCACAGTCCTCCCCGGTAGACAGTGAAGCCATACAAAGATGTCCTGGAAATGCTTTTAATTGTGAGAAACCTCTTCCTTCTCTTGTGTCAAAATCCTGTGATGTCATTTTTACCTGCATATAATGATGACACTTTCTGGAACCATTTACAAGCTGTTCAAATATTTTCACGTAGCTGCCATTTCCCTTGCTCGGCTTTAGCTTTCTCTTTTCCAGGTTAAATTCTCTAACTTTCTTAACCACTCCTCATAGGGCATAACTTCTAGGTAATTCCCTAGTCGGGACTCCCTTCTATGAAAGACCTCTGATTTCTATTGTCCTTTATTAAATGGGGCCAAGCACAGACACTGGTGATTTTTGACAATCTTCTTCTAGCACACCAGTGAGAGCACAGGGCTCCTCGTAGGTGTAGCAAATGGAATTTTATAATCTGTAGCGAAGGCTTTACAATTATCCCTATTACATTTCATCTTCTTGGTTCCAGCCTTTCAACATCTCCGAACATTTGGATTCTTCCCTTTAACACATTAGCCTTCCCACCTGCATGTGTGGGACCAGCCTGCCAACGTTTGTAGCTCTAGCCAGGTGATCCCTTACCAATCAGCCCTGTCAAGACAGAACTGGGGTTCGTCTAGGCCTCTGGTAGGCCCTGTGATTTCCTGGTTGCTTACAAACCATCCTTCCTATAATCTAAACTAACTTATTTCAGTCTATAATGTTTAGAGTCTGTTGTTTTTGAAATTGGCTACAAAGTATAATCATTTCCTAACACCTCTAATGTGCCTTTGATTGTTCAAAGATTATTCGCAAAGGTTTTGATATTATGTCTGGAAAAATTTTGATAAGGACCCTAAGATGTTATCCTTTAGGGTCTTGGGACTGGATCTCCCTGACACCTTTTCTAATCTTTCCAGTAAGGGGGGGTATCATAGTATTTATTGATGTCTACATTATGCTGTTTACTATTTGGAAGTTGTGTAATAGTCTTTGGTCAATATTGTTCATAAAAAGCTATCTCTGCCCCCAACCCCATGATGGCTAGCACATAGTAATTTTAAACTAATCGGAACTCTGATTATTATCTGAAGCATTCTGCACTTTACATCTCCCTCACACACAAGCTTCCCCCACTTTCCTCTATTTCTTTTCTTTTCTTTCTTTTTTTCATCATCAGTAACATCTTTTATTGCGTCTTTCTTGAAAAGATGAGACTAAGCCCAGGTTTAGATTAGGTCTTTCCTTTTATTTAATTTAAATTTTAACTTTTTAAAATTAACCTGTAGTAATTGTATTTATGGGGTACAGAGTTATATTTCAATACATGTATACGACGTGATGATCAATCAAGGTAATTAGCATATCCATCCTGGCAAAAATTTATTGTTTCTCTGTGATGAGAACATTTGAGCTCCTCTCTTCTAGCCATTTGAGAATACACAATACATTATAGTTAATTATAGACTCCTAGCACTAGTGTAGACCACGAGAACTCATTTGTCCTATCTAGCTGTGATCTTGTATTTGTTAACCAAGCTATTCCTATCCCCCTGCCCTGCTCTTTCCCCAGCCTCTAGTAACCGCGGTTCTGCCTGTGACTATAAGCTCCACTCTTTTTATCTAGCTGTGATCTTGTATTTGTTAACCAAGCTATTCCTATCCCCCTGCCCTGCTCTTTCCACAGCCTCTAGTAACCGCGGTTCTGCCTGTGACTATAAGCTCCACTCTTTTCGCTCCCACATATGAGTGAGAACATGAGGTATTAACTTTTTGTGTCTGATTTACTTCACTCAACATAGGATAATGTCTTTCTTTCTCTCTCTTTTTCCCTCCCTTCCTTTTTGGTTTGAATAGCACTCCTCCCGGCGTGCATCAGAGCAAAGCAGATGCCCATCGCTCTCCTTTCCACCTGCCATCTGCTAACACGAGAACACTGTCCAAAGCTTGCTCTTCTTGCCCACACACGGCTCAACAGCCCTTTGCATTGCCTGTCACATGTTTTCAAACTTCAGGTCAATCTGAGATTTAGACTTTGTGACATCTTTCCTAAAGTCCCTTGCTACTCCTGCATACCTATCCTTGGCTCTGAGTTCCTCCCTTAATCTGTGAGGTTGAGAAATGATGGAGAAATACCCCCAAGATAGTCTACTGATAATGAAACACAGAAGAAAGAAGTTTCAAGAGACAACATTTGCTAACCTTCTGAATGCTGCAATGAGGGCTA